GTTTTAACTATGTTTGAGTAAAACACTATTAAAATGCTGTGCTCATAAAAATACCAGTTTATTTTCTTCATATATTAATATCAGGGGTTAAGTTAAAGACCTTTACATGTTCTGATACGTAGTTTCTACGTAAGAATCTGAAGAAAGTCGATAAACAAAGCCTCGTCCTATCTTCCAAATCGTCCTATCTAAGGATTTTTTAAAAATTACGGCTGAAAATGAGCCTTTCGACCTATATACCCCATCGACATATACCCCAAAACTTACGGTAAGTGTATAGTTATGATGAGCAAGAGTGCCTCTTCAAAAATTTTGAATTTCATGACCCCTGGGTCAGGGGTTCTGTTGTTAGGGCAGGGCTCTATTAATTATGTAGTGAAAATGCATTTATTCTGTTAAATAATCCTGTTTAATCCTAAGTGTTGAACAGATAAACAGTGCAATTAGTTATGATGAATAAGGGTGCTTCTTACAAAATTTTAAAAACTTTTTGGTCCCAGGATAAGGGGCTTTTGTGTTTCTCATAGGGGGGGGGGGGGGGGGGGGTCTATTGATAACATACTGTATAGGGGATTAATTTCACGGGTTGTAATTTTCACGTTTTTCTCTCCTCTGACATGATCGCGGTTTGTTGAATTCGTGGAATTGGTATGTAATAAAAGTTACCTCCCTTGTCTATATATGTTTAATCCATAGCAAAGCTAGAACGACATAAATCAGCGTCATGTATTCACTTCACCAACCACAGGGTAGGTTTATATAAAATAGTTAGATTTAATAATTAATTGATGACTAATTGAAACAAGTGCAGTTAATAAAAGTTCTACTATCTTTCCTATATGGTATTACATGCATGGCCGTAGGAATGGGGGGGGGGGGGACAGCCCGGGCTGTCCCCCCCCCCCCCAATAATTTTGCCGATATATAGATTACTATAGAAAACATAGATACTATATGCCTGTGCCCCCTCAATAAAAACGTCTGATGACCTTTTCTTTTTCTGCTTGTCAAGAAATTTTTGGTAGTTGATAGTGCCCCCTCAACTGAAGATGTATGACTGTGCCCCCCCAAACTGAAATTGCTTCCTACGGGCCTGACATGAGTGCATGTACACCCCAAGATCTTTCCGAAGGTATTATACATCGCGGCGAAAAACTACTGGACGGTAAAAAATGTGTTAATGTAAGTCGACAAAATAATATAATTCCACATCTTCAGCAAGTTTGATAGTTATTTGAATGATTTATAAAAACCAAAATGTCGATAAAAACTAATACGCATGATAATGCAGATAACAAATACATGTGGTAACATAGTTACACAAGGATAATCAAAACCCTTGACCCACGTCTTTTGATAGAAGAAACATGTAACATTGGTTATTTAAACAGTTTTTTTTTAACAAATACAGGTTATTATCTGCTGATCTAAATTAAAGTAAAGCGTGATAATTAAAATAATTGAATGACAAGTACGACTCATAATTACTGAAATGACCATGTACTGCATGTTTATAAACCTAGCGTAGTTTATAATGCAGGTAATAAATTCACGTAGTAACGTTAGATACGCACGGGTAATCAAAACCCATGTCCCATGTGTTTTGATTGATGAGACATTCAGCGTAGTCTTGTAAAACAGCTTTTTTTTTTTTTTTTTACAATGATTACAGGTTATTATCTGCTGATTTGAATTAAAGTAAAGCATGATAATTAAAATAATTGAATGACAATTATTTCTCGTAATTACTGAATGACCATGTACTGCAACTACGTATATATACCTATCGTATCTATTCTCAAATTACCAAATATAGCATGGAGGTTATTGAAAACTTATTCACTGTTTCTTGAATTCACGGATTTATCAACACCATGAATATAGCGAATATTAACACCGCAAGTAATTTTCCCCCTATACAGTAAGTGAAAATGTGTTAATTTTTTGAAAATATTCAACTAAGTGCAGAGTTATGATGATGAGGGTACCTCTTCCAAATTTGTGATGAAGATACCTCTTCCAAATTTGTGAAATTCATGACCCTGGGTCATGGGTTTGGTGTTAGGGTAGGGCTGTGTTTAATCTGTAGTCATGGTACATGTAGTGAAAATGCATTATTTCTTTGAAAATCTTCCCTGTTCCTTGGCATATCAAAGGCAAACAAAGTAAAAGTTTTAATAAGCAAGAATATTTTTACCAGATTTTTAAACATCTGGGCCATTTGGTCAAGTGTTCTGGTCCTGGCCAGGGCTCTATTAATTTGTATTCTACTGAGAGAAATTATTCCCCTTTGCAATTCACTTTTGATAATTAATCACTGTAAATAATGTATTTGAAAAGTTAATAGAACAAGAGAATTATGCAAAATATTGTATTGTATAATACAAAAACTACTTTCATAGTTTTAATGATCAGATAGACTTGTAAATAATGGAATAATAAAAAAATGAGACAAAAAAACTTTTTAAAATGTTCTTCAAAGACCAGAAGAGGCCAATGTGAGAGATTACAATTTGGGGTTAAAAGTAATACAGAAGCACTAATAGTTTGTTAATAGTCTGCATGGTGATAGTGATAAATTGGGGACAGATTAGAACTTAATTTATGATTTGTTACTAGATATTAGACTAATTATTTCATTGATCCTGATCATCCTATTTCTCTTGCTTTTGGGCTACAAATCTTCATCTATCAGTTTATTTTATATTATATGGATCCTCTAAGTTGTTGTATTATACTTGGTGACCTTTAAGGCCCTTGGGCCTCTTGTTCACATTAAAGGACAATGTTAACAAGACAATTTACCAGCAAATTATGCCAAAAAATAAATGGGTCATCGGCTTAGATTTTTCAGGGGGTGGGGGGATTTCAAACTCAGGTGTAGGACACATTTTGGGGAAAATTTTCAATGAAAAAAACCTAGGCCAAATAAATCATTTATTTATAAAATCAACAAATAAATATAAATCGAAATAATTACAGTATTTTTGAATTGAGAGGAAATGCTTGAATATCTTTAAAATAATTAAAAATGTATATTTATTCTCCAGGATCGAAAGATCCCGGGGGTGTATTGTTTTTGTCCTGTCTGTCTGTTTGTCTGTCTGTCTTTTGTCAACTTTAACCTTGCCCATTACTTTTAATTGGTTGGAGCTATGACTTTCATATTTCACATGTGTATTCCTTATGACAAGACCTTTCTTTGGGTACTATCATATTTGACCTTGACCTTTGAGTTTGACCCACTTTTGCAAAATTTTATAAGACTTTAACCTTGGCCATAATTTTTGAACAGTTGGTTCTTGAGGTTTCAAACTTCACATGTGTATTCTTTGTGACAAGACCGTCCTCTGGATATCAACCTCTTTGACCCTTTGACCTTGACCTAGGAGTTTGACCTACTTTTGAAAAACATTAACTTTGGCCATAACTTTTGAATGGTTGGAGCTAGGGCTTTCATACTTCACATATGTAATCCTTGTGACAAGACCTTTTTTTGCATACCAACCACTTTGACCTTTTGACTTGACCCAGGAGTTTGACCTACTTTTGAAAAACTTTAACCTTGGCTATAACTTTAGAATGGTTGATGCTAGGGTTTTCATACTTCACATATGTATTCCTTGTGACATTACCTTCCTTTGGATACCAACCACTTTGACCTTTTGACCTTGAGCTAGGAGTTTGACCTACTTATGAAAAACTTTAACCTTGGGCATAACTTTTGAATGGTTGATGCTAGGGTTTTCATACTTCACATATGTAATCCTTGTGACATCCTCTTCCTTTGGATACCAAACACTTTGACCCTTTGACCTTGACCTAGGAGTTTGACCTATTTTTGAAAAACTTTAACCTTGGCCAAAACTGTTGAGTGGTTGGTGCTAGGGCTTTCATACTTCACATATGTAATCCTTGTGACAAGCCCTTCCTTTGGATACCAACAACTTTGACCTTGACATTTTACTTACTTCTAAAAAACTTTAACCTTCGCCATAACTTTTGAACAGTTGCAGCTAGGGCTTTCAAATTTCACAGGTATATTTCTCGAGACAAGACCTTTCTTTTGGTACCAACATTTTTTATCTTTTGGCCTGGATTTTGACTTGCATTTGAGAAACTTTAATCTTCGCCATAAGCTGCCATACGGTGGAATCAGTTTTTCATAAACACATCTTGTTTATCTTTTGCAATACATAATTAGTTCAATTTGATTCAAGGCATATGTGCGGTTTTTTGTGCAGTGGCATGAAATTTCAAAAGGTCCGTCCTCCTTAATAGAACTAATTTTTACATATGTGTAGTATATATCAAATTGTCGCGATACGGATAAATAAGACTAAACAAAGGTAATGTTCATATTCATCAATATAAAACATGGCTCGATGATTTCTACTATTGAAAAAGTATAATAGAAGAAAATCCAAAACTAGTTTTCTTTGGCCTTACTTAATGAACAGTGCCAGGTATGGTAATCCAAGCAGAATGAGATCTGTTTACCTGTGGCTGTCCAATAAGTTAGCAATGGAAGTGTTCATCATTGGTGAAATGTTTTAAGAAAGTTATTAGCCTCAAACTGACCATTATGTCAGAATATTAGACTCTCCTCTGCGCTTACGCGAGTCAGACTGTCTAATATCTGACATAATGCACAGTTTTCAGCTTATAACCATTACTTGCAGTATAATAAAGTGGTCTGTATATTGAGGTGAAATTACCTATGGCTCTTACTTTTTGTTTCTTTGAAAAGTGGCTACTGTCTGTTTTTATGGGTGGACATTATTATGAGAGCTAGATAGCAAGAATGTTAAGATTTTTCTGGAACTTTAAAAATTTGCCAATACATATTGGGTAACTGGTGTTGATAGAAAATTTTCTGTACATGCATGTCTTTAAAAAGCCCTATGCTGGATGAAAAGCAGGATATATAAAGAATAACAGTTAAAATGCATGAAATCTAATATTATGTTACTACAGAGAAAAACATCTCTTATTTTCAGAGAGGAATTCCTCTGAAGCTGATTATCATGTCAGCCACACTGAAAGTAGAGGATTTTACAGAAAACTGTAGATTATTTAAAACAGTTCCTCCTATTGTCAAAGTGAATTCTCGTCAATTTCCAGTCACTGTTCATTTCAACAAAAGGACCCCTGTGGAGGGATATCTTTATGAAGCATACAGAAAGGTAAACATGGCACAACCTTAACTCTTTCCCAGTTATCATATAGTAAATCTTCTCCCATAGTAAAATATCCCCCATAAGACCTACTATATAGTTAATCAAGGGTGCTAATCAACATCATAACCAGGATGACATTAGCATGCATAATCTGCCATTTCCTCTGGCATGTTGAACAGGTAAGTGAAATTTATACCCAAGCACAAAATACTTACATGGTGTTTTATTCTTAAAGAAATGTTTTATCTCCTGTATTCTGATGACACTGTAGAGTTCTTGATTAAGCAGGCATTCCAGAGATGATGTCACATTTATCCAAATTTATTCCAGGATAAAGATAACAGACTTACACTTTCAAACAGTAAAATCATGTTTCAATTATCACATTGAAAGACAAATTTGAATAAAATATTTGCATTTTTCCTTCTTTTTTTGCAAAAATAACAAGAAATCTTAATAGTTTCAGAGTTTGTGACTTCAAAGTGAAAAAATAGTAATATTTTTCCCAATCAGTAATATTAGTTTTGTTAAATTTATTTTTATTCATTTTTAGATCACCTGAGTAAACTCAGGTGACAATTGTTATCTGTTTTAATCCGTCATTGTGTGATGTGCATTAACATTTGAACATTTTAAGCTTCTTCTCTGATACTGCTCCACCAATTTCAACCAATTTTGGCATATAGGATCTTTGAGTGATTGGGAACAAAAATTGTGAATTTCATGGTCCCTTTCCCCTGAGCTGGGGCCTAAGGGGTTGGGCAAAAACCACTAAAATTAATGCAATCTTTAAAAATCTTCTTCTATACTCCTAAACATCAAGCAGTAAAACTGTTGGCATGATTGTAATAAGCATTGAGCCCTTTACAGATATTATGAAATTCATGGCCCTAGGGTCAGGGGTTCTGGTGCTAGGGTGGGGCTCTGTTGAATATACAGTAAAACTTGTTGATTCTGAATGTTGTGCATTCTGGCATGTTGTTCAGTCTGGCGTTATGTTTTAGTCCCTTGAATTTTCTTTATAATTTATGTTTAATAAATGTTGTTCAATCCGGATCTTGCCTATTCTGTAAACCGGCCGCTATTTAAAGAACTAACTGCTCATAATTAGTACAAATTATCTCCTCTAATCCGACCACTTATTTTTTTACCTGTGCCCGCTGGTCATTAGAGAAGTCTCGCGTGGGGTAATAATTGTCCCGTTAATGATCTATCCTGTATCGACAGGTTAGATTTTAACAAACGTGATAAAAAAAATCATTAATGGCTCAAGTAAGGTGGGGAAACTCACAAAAGAATGAGTGATAGTGATGGTTGTGTGTAGCATGTCTGTAGAAAAACTTGGAGACTTATTCATGACCTCCTTTCTACTTTCGTTTCATGTGCACGACGTGCAATTCGAATTACTTCCCTTTGTGTCGCTAGTTTACAACGACCATAGCGACAGAAGATTTTGGTTTCAATATTCATTACATGTTTAACATTTGAAATTAACAAATACATGTCTAAATAATCATATTAATTTTAAAAGAAAGAAATTAATTAGGAATCTGTCCCTAACAAAATAATATTTACAGCTACGATGCGGTTTTGAGTGTGTTTAAAAGATTTAATGATTTTCAAATTTGATAAATGACCAAGAGATATTATATTTCGATACTGAATAAAAAGCTTAACTCTTTCCCCCTCAGAGCTTTTAAGATAAGGCGTTACTGTATACTCCCGTAGCAAGCCAATGCTGCAGCCTTATCTCCACAGCAGTCTAGCATCAGTGATAACCCCATTTACTCAGGCATTTTCAGAAATAAAGAAAAAAATCACAGTGCTTTATATTTATTCTTATTACTCTCAAATTATTGGGTAAAAATATATAAAACCAAGTATTTTTATTTTCAGCACAGTCTCATCTTTACAAAGATGATAATTTAAAACCAATCCTTTATTTTTAAACTAAGAAAAAGTTTGGTAAATGTCAAGAGTCAGTGTATATACACACATTTTTCATGACAAAATATTTAGAATTTAATCATTTTACAGTCAATAATAAGGTTTCAATGTCTATTTTGGTATGTGAAAAGATCCACATTTTGCATAGATGCACACTGCGAAGTTTACACAAACGGATAATCTTTTTAATTTCTTTTTTTGGCCAAGTAAGCCTTCTTTTCTGCTTCAGTGATTTTTAACCAGACACTGTCTTCCTTTCTCTTCTGTGCATTTTTTCGCATGCACTTTTATTTTTGTGATGCACATAGTCTATAATAATGTTTGGATAAAACATATCACCCAAGCAATCTTTTTTGCAGTTGTTTTTACACAAAAATCGGCTCCGGAATACTGGCCATGAGACTTTCAACTCGCACACCATGAAATGTCGAAAGGTTTTTTGGCCACGTATAATGTTCCAAATTAATTTTTTCTGCACAAATGAATTCTTTATGAAGATATGTATTGGATTCAGCATCCTAAAACCCATAAAGTTTATCTAAATCGTCGCGTGAATAGAAATAATCTCACCGTACATTGTTCATAATCCGCCATTTTGAATTAACAACTTTTGTTTTTCCTACCATACAAGGTAAAAACCATCTTTATTTATAGGTACACGTGAATTGATGACAGTGCACATACTTTATTTTTGTAGGCCAATAATAACGCTTCAATTTGATACCTGCCCAAAGTTGCCGACGTCATAGTCTCGTTTTCACATAGTCTTAAAATAACAAGACGTCGAAAGGCGCTTGTGCGGAAATTCTGTATAGGCGTCGAGAGACGCTAGTGCGGTAATCACAGATTGGCGTCGAGAAATGCTTGTGCGGAAATCCTGGCTAGGCATCGAGAGGCGCTTTGAGGGGGAAAGAGTTAAACAGAAATGAAAATTCTGAAGAACAAACAGAGTTCAAAACAAACGGAAATAGATGACTTTTTCAAATGACACATTTGATCAAGTATCTATTTACCATGCACTCTTTGTTTATATCTATGTAATTTTTAACTTGCTATAACAGTTCAATTTTCTCCAATCCAGATGTTGTCTAATCCGGCCAAAAATTTTGGAACCCCTGGTTGCTGGATTAGCCAAGTTTTACTATATAGTGAAAATGCATTATTTCTTTAAAAATTTTCTCGTTTGCTCCTGGGCAAAAAGAAAACAGAATAAAAAGCATAATTTTGATGAGGAAGGGTGTCTCTTCCAAAGATTGTAAATTTCATGGCCCCTGGGTCAGGGGTTCTGGTGTCAGGGTGGGACTCTAATGAAAATATAGTGAAAGTGCATTATTCCTTTGAAAATCTTCTCCTCTGCTCCTGGGCATTGAGTCAATGTACCAACTAAATGGTTATGATGGGGATGGGAGCCTGTTCTAAAGTTATGAATTTCATGACCCCTGGGTCAGGGGTTCTGGTGTTATGGAGATGCTCTAATGATTATAAAGTGATAGTGCATTCTTTGAAAATCTTCATCTCTGCTCCTAGGAATTTAGCAGATAAACCAAATATATATTTATAATGAGCAAGGGCATTTCTTCCAAAATTTTGAATATCTTGGCTGCTGGGCCAGGGGATCTGGTGTGAGGGCAGGGCTGTAGTGAAAATTCATTCTTTAAAAACCATCTCCTCTCCCCCTGTATATAAAGCACATAAATTAGGAGCATGGGTATGATGACAAAAGGTGCCTCTTACAAAACAGTGAAATTTGTGGCCCAGGGTGAGGGGTTCTGCAGGAAGAGGGAGGGTTCTATTGATTGTATAATGAAAGTGCATTATTCATGTTATTTCTTTGAAAATTTTCTTGTCTGCTTGTAGGTATTTAGCAGATAAACCAAGTATATATTTATGATGAGCAAGGGCACCTCTTCCAAAATTATGAATATCTTTCCCCCTGGTTTAGGAGTTCTGGTGTTACAGCTTGGCTCTATTGATCAGATAGTAAAAATGCATTAATTCTTCAAAAATTTTCTTTTCTCCCCCTGTATGTAAAGCACCTAAACTTGGAGCATTTTTATGATGATCAAGGGTGCCTCTTTCAAAATTGTGATATATGAGGCCCCAGGGTGAGGTGTTCTGCAGAAGGTGGGGGGGGGGGGGGAAGCTTTATTGATTATATGGTAAAAGTGCATAATATCTTTGAAAAGCTTCCCTGCTCCTAGGTATTTAGCAGATAAACCAAATATATAATTTTGATGAACAAGGACACCTCTTCAAAATTATGAATATCTTTGCCCCTGGGTCAGGATTTCTGGTGTTACATTGTAGGAAGGGGCTCTATTGATTATATAGTGAAAGTGCATTATTTCTTTGAAATCTACTTCTCTGCTTCTTGGTATTTTAGCAAACCAAGTTTATAGTTATGGTAAGCAAGGGCAACTCTTTCAAAATTGTGAATATCTTGGCCCCTGGGTTAGGGGTTTTGTTATTATTGATTATATAGTGAAATTGTATTTATTATTTGAAAATCATCTCTGCTCCTGGGTTTTTAGCAGAAAAAACTAAGTGCATGGTTTTGATGATCCAGTATGTCTCTTCCAAAATTTTGGAATTTGTGGCCCCAGGGTCAGGATTTCATATTTGGGGAGAGAGAATCTATTTAATATATGGTGGAAATGCATTTTTTTTCTCTCGAAAATCTTCTTCTCTGCCTCGGGGTAGTTTACAGAAAAATTAATTGCATTATTATGATGAGCAAGGAAATCTTTTCAAAAAAGTTGAAATTCTTAATCTCGGGTCAGGGATTTTGGTGTTGGGTGAGGCTCAATTGAATATATAGTATAAATGCATTATTTCTTTGAAAATCTTCTTCTCTGCCCATTGTTATTGAGGAAACATACTAAGTGCATGGTAATGAAGAGCAAGAGGTGCCTTTTCCAAAATTGTGAATATCTTGGCCCCTGGGTCAGGGGCTTTGGTATTAGGATAGGGCTATATTTAATCTATAGTGAAAATAGATTATTTCCTTGAAAATCTTCTTTGACAAAAAGAGTATATAATGTTGTAATATGCAGGGGTGT